CACTAAGATCATGACACGCATACATTTCTCTATAAAATTCACTCCATCGCTGCATGACGTCCGATTTTTCTGACAGGACGTCATTGGTTCTCGAAAGCACTTTGTTCATTCTTAAGACTGTCGCACCACTCCGGGACCTTCCAACCTCTCCCAGAAGAGTTTGGAGTTTTTCCTAAAGTTGTGCGACAACCTCTCGTTCGCTTTTATTCTACACCTTTCACGTACTTCCTCAATCAATGTTTTCGCATGAACTTTCTGCAGCTTATATCTTTCTTTCATCTTCTCTCTCATATGCTCATCGTTACTAGAGGCCAAGTAGTCTAACCATGCTTTTTTCTTCTTTTTTACAGCTTCTCTCACTTCATCATTCCACCATGTATCTCTTCTTTTACTACTACCTCTTTTTGTCGTACCACATACTTCTTCCGCTGCACTTACCATTCCATCCCTAAGGTTCTGCCATGTTCTCTCCACACATTCTTTCCTGCCATCGATGGTGTCAAGCTTTTCGGCTACTCTCGTGTGATATTTGTCCCTAGTATCCGCTTCCTGAAGCTTCCAGCTTCGGATGCGACAGACCGACTGTGGTTCCCTACAGTAATTAATAAACCCCTAAATCTAGTAATTACTAGATAATGATCCGTTCCCAGGTCAGAACCCCTGAACACTCGTGTATCCATCACCTGTTTTCGCAGTCGGTCATCCACCAGGAACAAATCAATAATACTTCTCTCATTCTTTCTTTCTCTAGTGTACATATGGATTTTCCTGTGATTAAACATAGTGTTTGTCACAAGAAGACCCTTTTCCTTGCATACAAGTAGCGTGTGTATAAGCAAATGCCAGTATAAGCTTGTCAGCATCATTAACCCTTTTATCGCCAAACTTTCTAAGCACCGACTCGTATCCTGGTCGAGCGATATCTACCCATCCATTCAAATCACCACATACAACAGTTCTTTCGTTTCCCTTAACCAAATCTAGAACTTCTCTTACATTATTCCAAAACTCCTCCAGCTCAGCCCTGGACGACGAAGCTACCGGCGCATAAACAGCCAAAAGGAATAACTTCGTCAGTCCCATTTTGAAGCGAACCCAGAGAAGTCTTGAGTTCACAACCTTGTATTCAGTCATAAGATCGACCAACCGGGACGACAACAGCACTCCCACTCCCTGGCAGGCGTTTTCGCTTTCCGGGACTCCGGACCATATAACTAACGTCCCGCCAGGGAGCTCTTCAGTACCACTGCCTTTCCGTTTGGTCTCCGACATACACACGACATCTAATTCTCTTTCTTTCATTATTTCGATCAACTCATTCGTCTTATCTCTCATGCCCCCTCTAACATTCCACGTGCCAACTCTGCACTCCGTCCTCCACCTTCCGCCGTGTTTTTTAAAAAAATCATTTCTATATACTTGGATACTGATTCTGATAACGCAGTTAACGGGAACCACAGAGTTTTTGTTACATGTTGTGTATCTTTTAAAATTATTTTTGACGCCACCTTTTATAGAAATTAATTATTAATTATTAATAATAATGAAGGGCCGTCACAAAATGAAGAAACTTCTGTTCCGGACACAAGAATTTACAAAAGCCAACGGGTACAAATATTACTGGACTTCAAACGGATTTGTTTACCCTAGGAAGAAAGAAAGAGACCAAGAAATTATAGTGAAATCAGAACAAACCCTGATAGATCTGCAGAAAACCGTATAACTAGACTAAGCTTATTTTTGTAATTTTGTGTTTTTGCTGTTTTATACCTGAACTGTTGTTTATATCATCATTTTTAATGTCTTCATTGTGATTTTCTCAATTTATATTTACAACGTAAACACCATACACAAATCATATCCAAATACAATATTCTTACACTCGCTCTCACAATTACATTCTCTAACACACACACTCGCTCCCAATCATAAGCACCACGTGACACACTCATATGATGTTTCTCTTATATTTAAAGCCTATTAGTACCTATACAATGCATGTAAAATAGCTTAAAAACGATATGTTTACCATGCTTAGTAGTCCAATAGTCTTCTTAAATGACTAATAATAGTCTAAATGATGAAATTAAGAATATCTCTATTTCACAAGAAAGAAAGCCGTGGTAGCTCAGATGGTTAACGCTCGCTGTAAATATAACATAACGCGGGTAACCCGGGTTCAAACCCCGCGGGCACTAATGAAATTGTTAATTGCAATTTTAAGTGCTGATTTACCACCTGCTCGGCGGTGCAGGAAAACATCGTGAGGAAACCTGCATGTCTGAGGAATAAGAAAAAAATATTTCGAAGACATGTGAACTTCGCCAACACGCATTGGGGCAGCGCGGCGGACACTTCCTTGCCCTAAAACCTCCTCAGAAATGAGGAGAGGCCTGTGCCCAGCAGTGGGACGTATATAGGCTGTAACTTTACTTTACTTTACTATTTCACAAGCTATTAAATATAACCGTTAAATTGCCAAAAGTACATAAATAACAGCTGAAAATCCCTTCTGCATGTTAATATTAGAAGCATCAAAATTTTTTTTAACGAATTCCGTTTGCTATTCTATTATGCACTATCACCTGCGATATTTTGATTCTTTCTGAATGCTGGTTGTCTAAAATATCTAGCTTACCGCAGCTTGAGGGCTATTTATCATATAGCACGAACTCCATCTGCAACCAGAACGATGGGTTGGTGATCTACATTAAAAACTCCATTACACATACTGTATATCAACCTAACTTTAATGACGCAAACTGTTTAACCTGTAATATAAATAAAAATGTAGCTATAGTAGGTTTATATACATCACCTTCATTTCGAAACACCGATAATTTTATGGACAGCCAGAATACTGCATTAAGTAATTTATCAGCAATAATTAATACCATCATAATTATTGGCGACATAAACATAGCTATTAAAGTAAATAATTGTGACCCAAACTCAAATGATGATATAAATCTTATGGCTTCTCATGGAATGTTACCAGCGCACTAGATCCCGATCAGATTGGATGACTGCTTAGAACATGTCATTTTAAAAACAAGGCTTCGATCCACAACTCTTATTATAGAAACATCATTAACTGACCATTTTCCATTCCTCTTAAATTTAAACTTAAATCTATTTTTTTTATTTTATTTATTTAGAAAACCAACAGCTTTAAACTATTAAAATTTGCAACAGATCGGATTATCTTAACATAAGCCTTATTACAGGTTTCCCTATATTATCTAAACATAATTAAAAAGAATGAGCGACGATTCCTTATCGGTACAAAGAATAATCAGCGGTACTACTATAAACATTGTATATACAACAACATAATGTGTGTGTGTGTGTGTGTGTGTGTGTGTGTGTGTGTGTGTGTGTGTGTGTGTGTGTGTGTATATACAATGTTCTATTTATGCAATCTTTTATTTAAAACATAAAAGATTTTTAACATTGATATGGTCACTGTAAAAGATTGTTAGGTTAGCTAATTACGTAGATAATAACTTAAAACAGAAGGACCCTTAAGTAGAGACTGAATAAATTAATCGACTTGGTATTACATGGAATGGATCTCACAACTTTTTGCGGTAGAAGAACTGAGTTGCGAGACTTGGTTTTTTTACAAGTTGTTTTTAATGCATTATTATTATTATTATTATTACTCAGATGGAATGACTAACGCTGACAAATAACTCCAACCTGCTGCTTTGCTGTACACATTATTGATAACTAAGTAAAACAACTTGTTTATACGGTTGAAATATTTCTTGATATCTAATGACGAAAAGGGTATGGGGTTATTTAATAATATAATTCCCGCACAAATTTCAAAATATACCTGTTTTGAGTACTGAGAAGTATGCTACTCTGTATTCAAGCTTCTCAAGAATAATAAGATTAGTTTTAACCAGATTTCGATAAACAAATTGCCTATTAGCACCTCTCCACTTAGAGCAATGCGGCTAGGAGATTTTTTGCAGCACTAGACCATATTATGTATCAGTAGTATTCCACAACCTACTTCTAAACCAAGGCAGAGTGCCGTGTGGGTCTTAATGGTGGCATCTATCAAACTACTTACTTTAACAAACCATGTAGTCTCCACTTCCCCATAATGTACCGTGGGTGTCGTAACAGACAAGATAGAATGGAATAAACCAGGATATGGGTAGTATCTTCCTAAAAACATCTAGAAAATAAAACTTATAGACCAAATGACTTCCTCGACGTGACAAAGATGATTGCAGCAGATATAATTACAAACACATAAAAACTCCTTTGATTTGGTGGAATTTTTTAGACTGAGGGCAGTCGAGTCGACCAAGTTAATCTATTTAAGTTGGTCGACATTTTATAAAATATTTTAAATATTTATATGGTCACTATAAGATGTTGTTAGGTTAGCTAAGTACGTAATAACTTAAGACAGAAGTACCCTTAAGTAGGGACTGAATAAATTAACTGACTTGTTATACATGGAATGGATCTCACAACTTTTTACGCTAGAAGAACTAAGTTGTGAGACCTGGTTATTTTACAAGTTATGTTTTTGATTTCATATACTTAACGTGATTCCAGTGCTTGTTTTTATTTACGCATATTTATCACAAGACAAGTGATAAACAAACTCAGTCTACCCGATGGTTAGTGGCTTATGGCAGTTTCGTATGGTGACAGTAGAGAACGCGATATCCTTTTTACTGGTAACGAGGCATTCTATCTTAGCCCTCAGGGGTGACAACACATCTGAATTTTGATTCTTAATCAAGGATAGATGTAGATGTGTATGGACCACAGTATCCACTTACCATTAGGTGGATTGTGTGCACGCAAATCACATTTATTCGATAAACACTTAATGTGGTAGTTATACTGCTATCTATTTATATATCTCTGCATTATATGCTATCCGTCAACACCCACGAAATGAAATGGAAGTGATGTATTCGCTTACGCTACTACATGGCAAATCATAAAATCAAACCGTTTTTTACCAGGCCCATAGTGCAGTATGACACAATAGTGGTAGGGCTGGGGGCGGCTGGGGTGACAGCAGCATCAACTCTCGCTAAAGCAGGGAAGAAAGTCCTGGGCTTGGAGGCTCAGAATCGTATCGGCGGTCGTGTTAATACTGTGCCTTTCGGTGATGGCGTTGTCGAGCTTGGTGCGGAATGGTAAGTAGTTTATTCTGGTCTTTAAATTTTTTTCTTCTTCTTTATCAGCCCGTTAAAAGTCCAATCTTGACAGACGCTGGCAAGCTTACTCCTTTCTTATAGAAATGAAATGACAAATGGATTTCCACCTGACTTGCACCCAACTTCAAACAAAGAACAGAAACAGAAACTTTTTTATTCAATGTAGATTATAACAATACTTATTGAAAGTCACTATCTTCATTTACCACTGATTCGCAAAAAAAAACCTCTGTCCTGGGAAGAACCAGCAAGAGACCCAGCGGGACTATTTTTTTCCAATAATAGCTTACAATCATGTTTACAATTAACAACACAAGACAAATTAGAAATAGCTTGGTAGCGATCACCCTTAATATTATAATAACCCTTTTTATACAAACTTAGTTTAATAACATTTTTGAACTTTGTGTATGACAAATTTTGTATATTTTCTGGGATTTTGTTGTAAAAGCGTTATACATCGCCCCAAGAATGAATTACTGACTCGTAATGGTCTACAGCTTGTGTCTGCTCCTAGTATTTATAGAATGAATATCACTTATTTTCGCAAAACTACTTTTATTTTTGTGTACGTATATTACATTTTCATAAATGTATTGAGAGGCCAGAGTTAATATATTAATTTCCTTAAATTTTTGTCTCAGTGACTCTTTTGGTTTTAAATTAAATATATTGCTCTAATGGCTCTCTTCTGTAAAATAAATATAATTTCAGCGTCAGTCGCGTGTCCCCATAGCAAAATACCATACTACATAATGCTATGGAAATAACTAAAGTAACACTATAGAGATGTTGTGTATGTTTTACAGTCTGTTTTACTTGCTGCCTTTTATCCATTGTCACCTCTTACGCCACCCAACGGGTCCAAAGTCCATCACGAATCGACGCCACCACTACACGGCAAAATTCATTGCAATATTTTAATATTGTAAGTATCCCTATAGTCAAAACTGAATGTCGAGATGGTTTTCTATAACGCAACCATTTTATTCTTCTGCTGGGATGGGCTCTTAACACTGACGCTGGTCTCATGACCTACAGAAGGAAATCTTATATATTAGCGGCCAAATCCGATTTCAGGCCAAACTATTTACTTTGTCCTAGGCCAAATCCGTTTATCAACGCGTGTCAGGATATAATAGTTCAGTCCAGGACAATCTATTTTGACCTAAATATTTTAGGCTTAACTGGTTAGTCTTAGGCAGATGTGAGAGCGTGGTCCTCGATCGGTCGAGCCGACACATCTCTGCTACAATCATAATACAGCTGGAGCCTGGCTCTTTGAGGAAATAAGTTATTGATAATTAAACTACTTGCCCAAAGACCACCATAACTTGAGACATTTTTATTTAAGTTCTACGTGGACGAAGTCACAAGTAAAAGCTAGTAGTAAATACATTTCTTGCCCACATCAAGGATCAACGGTCAGTACTCCAGTAGGGTGTACGATACTGCAATCCAGAACAACATCACCCTGCTCTCTCAGAATTTAGCCATGGACGTGTATAAGTCGGACGGGACCAGAGACAATAACGAGCTGGTGAAAGAACTGATAACGTATTGCTTGGCTTTGATAGAAGACACCAACACTGAAGAGGATTCTTTGGGCGCTTATATCACTCGGAAGTAAGTATTTAGGAGATTTGTGACCTATTTCTCGTCATCCATCCATTACAGCCTATAAAAGTCCACTGTTGAACAGCCTCCCCTATACATTCTTTTGGGGGGATTTTGCCATGGTCACGCTTGACAGGCTGTTTGACAACTGCAGTTTTTTATTATTTAGAGATGTTATCTAAAAGATTCTGCTGCCCATCTCCTGTTTCTGTTTCCCTGTGTCGCCCCTTACGACACTCACTGGTAGATATGGGGTATTGGAAATTCTTACACCTCCACTACGTGCGTGATACGGTATCTTGTCATCTTAGGATTAAGTTTGTATTAAAGTTTCAGCAAGTTTAAGGTTCCTAATAATAATGTCCTCCAGACCGATATTAGACCATGGAAGCCAGTCAAGTCAAGGAAGACAAGCCATCTGTGCTACGGACAAGATTATAGTTCATACAGGATTACAGTGTGTGTGCAAGCACAGGTATGTCGGTAGTCCAATGGAACGGCAAACCGACACAATCGGCGAGAGATCAGGCGTATGACCAACATAATCTTCTTTACTCCGGTCCACTAATGAGATACTCCCAATAAATTATTTTAGCTCAATTCAAACCCGAGACTCTTATAGTGCACACTTATAGTGCTTCCCATAGTTGTGTTGTGATTAACCAGCGTAGTTCACCTGATGGTAAAGTGATCTCTCAATCCATGTAGGACTAAGATGGAATGCCTCAATTCCAGTAAAAAGGGTCTCCGGTTCTCTACACTTATCATACGAAACACAGCAGCATTAGGCTCCTAGTTTACGCTGGCATTCTGTGAGAACGTGATCCTGCCCCGGTCGAGCTGACCCAGTGCTGCTCTCAATAATTTAACGGGAAATAATGAAAAAGTATCTTAAACATCGAGAGCGTTTAACTCCTTGCCGAAGTTCCCATTTTGTATAAACGATACCACATATATCGAGGCGTTAACGGATCAACATTGTTGTACAAATGGCGAAGGAAAAACAGGTAAACATTTTATTTATTTTAACATTTGTTTTTATAGAATAAGGCTACGAACAAGCACACAGTCCACCTGGTGGTAAGTGCATGCTGTGGCCCATAGACATCTATACCTATCCTCGATCAATATGGTCGGTGGCCCATAGACTTCTTATCAATCATTAAGAATCAAAATTTAGAAGCGTTGTTACTCTCGAGGTAGCATGCCTCGTTTTCGGTAAAAAGGGTCTATAGTTTTTTACACTCACCATACGAAACACAGCAGCATTTTTCTGCTGTTATGTGCTGTATGTATGTAGTATTCTGTGAGAATGTGGTTCCTCCCCGGTCGAGCCTACCCACTCACGCTATACCCATGATAAAGATGCAGCATGACATTACCACACATAAGATTTTGGTTTTATAATAGGTACACTAAACTACAAAATGTTTATCTACCCCAAAAATTCCAGATTAAAACAACATTTAAAAGAGACCCATCCAGAGTTACTCAACGACAAAGATTTCCTCAAGGAGTTCCTTGCCCTCATGGACCTCACAGTAGACAACTTCAAGGGTTCAAACAGCTGGAATGAGGCCAGCACAAAAACAGACTACAGGGAGCTAGAAGGTGACCGAAGTTTGAGTTGGCACCGATACGGTTACAAAACCTTCTTCGAACTGCTGTTGGTAAGTGTCTTAAAGCTAATGCCTCTTTATTTCCATACATTAAGGCGTAAATGGCCTCGAGTTATAGTAGGTAGTATCTTTACCATTATCGTCTCGCTTGTCATCAGATGGATCGACAATCTCAAAATTAGATATCTCGCACATTTAACTATGCTCCCTTTTCGCAGTCTGGATATTTAATCTTTTTTTATAGAATAAGGGTGACAAACTAGCACACAGTCCACCTGATGGTAAGCGGATGCTGTGGCCCATAGACATTCTACATCTATCCTTAATAAAGAATCAAATGCAGATGGCGGTATACCCAATATGATCCCGTAGGTGTCGTGAGAGGCTACAAAGGGGAATAAATCGGGGGATGGGCAGCAGCGTCTTCCCAATAACGACTAAAATTAAAAAAACTGTGGTTGCAAAGTGTGGCAACTATGTCAAATATCCCCACTATGACGCAACCTGTGGGGGAGGCCTATCTTCAGCAGTGGACTTTAATAGGCTGTAACGGTAACCGTGATATTGTCATTTCAGAACACATATCAAGGCGGACCAGGCTTAGCGAACTTAGACATTAAGCTCAACACAGAAGTGACTAATATCGTCTGGCCGCAACAACCCTCTACCCCAGTGGAAGTGACCTGCAAGGACGGTAAAGTGTACAGAGCCAACAATGTCATTGTCACCGTATCGGTTGGAGTTTTAAAGGAAAGGTCAGTTTTATGAATAAATATATAGAAAGATTGTTCTGATTTGTTATTTGACTGACAGAGGGCCAATCACAGCAGCATTAAGCTGCTGTTTTGCGCTGGTATTCTGTAAGAGTGTGGTCTTTCCATTAGACTAGCTGCAACATGACTCTTTCAGGTTTTTAACGAATGGTTTTTTTTTAAACAAGAATCAGACAAGCTTACATTTCACCTAATGGTAAGTGGATACTGCAGTCCATGGTCACCTTCAACAATATTCAAAAAAGAAGAATACAGATGCATTGTCACCTCTGATGACTAAAATGAATGCAAACACACTGAGGACCACTGGTTCGAATACCACGCGAAACGTGTACTTGTATGACCTACATGTAATTCACTTTCGCGGTAAAAATAGGTAAGAGGATGATAACCACCCAGACGGACTTCTAGTCAAAGAAAGGGAATAAGAGGATATATATATATATATATATATATATATACATATATATATATATATGTATATATATGTATATATATATACATATATATATACATATATATATATGTATATATATATACTATATATATATATATATATATATATATAAGATTAAATAAATCCATCGCCTGCACTTAATTTTAACAGTCAGCAATTAAAAAGTGAAAATTAAAGGGGACAAATCCGTAAAAACAAGTTTTACTCTTCAGCATATATTAGTAAGTTTATCACTATTATGCGCCTCTCTTCCAGACACATGACCCTGTTCACCCCTTCATTGCCAAGTGAGAAAGTAAACGCCATCAGCAGACTGACAGTGGGTCTATTGGATAAAATTATTATCTCATTCGATAAGCCTTGGTGGCCGGTTTCGCAAAACCTTTTCGTGTTCCTATGGAAGGGGGAAGACAAGAAAAAAGTGGATAAAGAAGATCTCTGGACTACTAAGATATACGCCGCAAGCACTGACATGGGGGCCAGTAATACGCTGACCTTGTGGACTAGTGGGGATACAGCCAAATGGGTTGGTTCGATTTGATATTATCACAAACTAGCTTTTGGTGTTCTATGTATAATTGGAATATTTGTGCATATATTTTGGTTTTATCGTGTACAAAGTTGTTATGTATAGTACTTTTACAGTCTTATTGTCAGTGGTAGTGCCATGCTGTAGTTATATTATGGTTGTAGCACGAATGAATCAGCTTGACCGGGAAAGGACCACGTTCTCATAGAATACCAGCGTAAAACAGCAGCTTAAGGCTGCTGCGTTTCGTCTGATGTGCAAAGAACCGGAGACCCTTTTCACTGGAAACGAGTCATTCGATTTAAGTCCTCAAGGGATAACAACGCATTTACATTTTGAATCGAAGTTAGATGTATATATGTCTATGAGCCACAGCATCCACTTACTGTGTGTGGACTGTGTGCTCGTTTCTTACCCCAATTCTATAAAGAAAACACTGCATGAATTATATATTATGTTCAGGATTTATGCAAATAAATAAAATGGAATTGTCTGTCTTTAATATTACAAAAACTGGTGATTTTTAGCTTGGGGGGTTATTTGCATGTTATTGAGACATAAATAATTATTTAAAATTTTTGTCTCTATCTGTTTTTCCCCGTAATTTATTTACATAATAAATATACAATATTTATTACCATAATAAAAAAACTAAAAGTAATAACACTCCCCGTGGTGTTGTGCCAAGGACGCTAACTGCGTTTCCTCTCTGAAGCTTTTGCCTTAATATATAATATAAAACTTTGCCTTTAAGTGAGAAAAGAACCAGCCCTCTTATCACCAACAGTGGCGATCAGTCGCAGATATAGTTCCTTTAATAACTACTATAGCTTTAGAATCAGATATTTTCTCTCTATTTATAGAATAAGGGTGACAAACGAGCACACAGTCCACCCGATGGTAAGTGGATGCTATGGCCCATAGACATCTGCACTTATTCTCGTTTAAAAATCAAAATGCAGTCACTTTTGAGAAGTAACATGGAATGCCTCGTTTCCAGTCACAAGGGTCTTCGGTTCTTTACACTCACCGTACGAAACATATTAAGCTATACAAGTACAGATACAGTTCTTTTAGGAACTTCACCACGCATGGGTCCCACGGACCGATAGTCTCTACAGTGAATGTTTGTTCAGTGTGTGTGTTAATGTCTTATGTACTTATGTATTTCTGGTTGTCCTAAACAAACAAAAAACATTGAAAAGAAAAAAATTATAGAATAATAATAGAAAATAAATAAATATAGATTACAAGTAATTCTTATTAAAAGTTATTTTTTTACATTCACTGCTGGTTCTGAAATAAACCTCTGTCATAGGAAGAAGCAGCAAGAAACCCAGACCAGTACGAAATCTATCTCCATTATCATTGATCCATATCTTGTCCATCCATCCATTACAACCTATTAAAGTCCACTGCTGAACATAGGCCTCCCCCATAGAGTGCCTCGTAGGAAGATTTTGCCATAGTTGGCACGCTTGGCAACCGCAGCTTTTTATAATTTTGTGTTGTCATGAGGGAGACTCTGCTGGCCATCCCCTGGTTTGTTTCCCTCAGTCGCCTCTTACGACACACACAGGGAGGGATATACACCTCTCTACACGGGATCCATATTGTGTCTTTTTTTATTTTTCAATTTTCTTTTTTATCATAATTAAACTCTTTTAGTGATAGATTGTAAAACTGCGTGAAAATATGATATTAAAGAACAATTATTAATATATAAAATGCAGGTAGAAACTATACCAGAGGAAATTGTGAAGAGGAAAGCGTTTGAACTGCTCCAGAAGTTCCTTGGAGCCAATGTGACAATACCCGAGCCAACTGGAATGGTTAGGTGAGTTAAGGTTCCTATTAGATTCCGGCAGCCAACTTTCAACAAAGAAGCATAGCAAAGAAGGCTACAGATGTATTGAGACTACTAAGGACTATTTTTTAGTAAAATTTTTAGCTCGGATGCTTGTCCTTTAAGCCATGTGTTCATTTCATTCAGGGTTTTCGTTTTTATAGATTTTTCATCACATCACGAAGTTTTTGGGAGATTTCGACGTCAGCTCAACCCAGTAAGCGATCAAAATAACTCGAGGATCAACATCGAAGCACTTTTTTCATCATTTTATCTAATAGTTCAAATGTGCAGACACGTAATACCCAAAAATGGTAAAATATAAATTTTGTAAAATCGACTTGAATATAAATAAAATGAGAACATCATCCATGTATTCGAAGTCAATTAAATACGCATTATTTAAGGATAACTTAAAAACTACTTGTCAGATCTTGATCAAAATTTATATCGTATCACACGATGAGCACCATCTTTCAGATTTAAAAAAGAATCATCATAATCGGTTCACTTAGAAAAAGTTCTGAAGCACACATAAAAAAACATACAGTCGAATTGAGAATCTTCTCCTTTTTGAAGTCGGTTTTGCGTATCAAAATACACTTCAAACCATTATTTAAACGATAAAACAGGAGCAACAATACGTCGCCTATCAAGTTCTCGTTAAAACTTACTAAACACTAAGATAGAATACCACACACACATACACACACTGTAACCATACTGCCTCTCTATGACAGATAGAAAGACAGCAATGCTTGCACTGCTATATGCAGACAGAAATAGGAAAGAAGTTGGCGATCCACACGGAAAACTTTGTAGAAAAGGAATCCTAGTAAATATTTTTATATTCAATCAATCAATCAATATACTATTTATTGTACACCAATATACATTAGAACGAGAAAATATTTTATATACTGGATGATTTTTTTACCGTCTGGAAAAAATAGGGTGTAACAGTCGAACGGAATAGAAGCCTATAACTGCACTGATATCTTACAATATTTTTTTACATTAACATAATATTATGAAATTGATCTATTAATACACAAAATTATAGGATAGGGTGACAAACGAGCACACAGTCCACCTGATGGTAAGTGGTTGCTGTAGCCCATAGACATCTACATCTATACTCGATTATAAATCAAAATGCAGATGTGTTGTCACCCGTAAGTACTAAGATGTAATGCCTTAAATAAAAAGGGTCTCCGGTTCTCTACACTTATCAACTTATCATACGACACAGGTACTCTGTGAGAGCGTGGTCCTTCCCCGGTCGAGCCGACCCATTCGTGTTACAACTATACTTCTAATATAACTGCAGCATGGCTCTACCAGGTATAAAAAATACAACTAATTTGAAATAAGCTTTCGGCATTTATAAACTAACAACAAAATGTTAGAACTAAATAAATAAATCAATTAAAAACTATCAAAATTAAAAAATACGTACCCAATTAGTAACATTTATTGATAGATCAATTTCATAATACGATACTGAAAAATAAAAATAAAAAATTGTAAAATATCAGTGCCATAGGCTTCTATTCCATTCACCTGTTAAACCCTATTTTTTTTATAATATTTATAAAGGCAAAGAGTTCCGCAAGCGTACCGCTATAACCGAAAATGATTTATTGAAGAAGGAGGATGAATGTGCTGGAATACTAAGCGAAAGATTTTAGATGACGGTCGTGAGGAGGAAATGTATTCAAATCGGTCTATCGGGTAACATGAAGTGGAGGGATTGAACAATATGCTATATTAAGCAGAAAGGTTGTGAGTATACCTGCGAAGGCGAATCGGCAGCCACTTGAGACGTGTACGAAATTCTGAAATGTGCTCATTTTTATTTATTGAATTTACAATTTCATGACGTATACTACTTATTTGAAATTATTAATAACTAGCACCCCCTGGGTCCAATTGAGAACCTAAACCATCTAGGGACCCATTAACTACACACTATGGGACGACTGACTGCAATTAATTTTTATATATTCCACATAGATCATATATATATATATATATATATATATATATATATATATATATATATATATATATATATATATATAGTACAGATACAAGATAATATATTCCACACACATATATATGTAAAACTTTCATATAAAATATTTAGTTTCGGGAGTGCATAATTATCTTGAGTTAGAATAATATTCAATTGATGCAGAACTCGATTTTATCAGGAGCGGTCCTGCTGTGTTGAGAGAGAAACGCTGTTGTCAAAATGACATATTATATTGACATATGTTATATACGAATGACTGTGTTTTAACTGATAACTTTTTTACAGGTCAACCTGGTACTCGAATCCGTACATCAGAGGTACTTTCGCTTTCGATAGTGTGAGCTCAGTGAAGTATCCCAACTCCAGGGCGGATTTGGGCAAACCACTCCTAGATAGTGCTGGCATAGCAAAAGTACTTTTCGCGGGAGAGGCACTTGACTTGACTCACTTTACGAATGTCCACGCAGCGAGTGAGAGTGGCTACAAAGAAGCTGCGAGGATTTTAGCCTCTAGCGAAAATTAAACTAATAACAAATATCACATTCTGCATGTTTTTGTACGGGGTTTTACCTCATGAATATTTATTATGGAAAAAATTCAATGTATTATGTTCGTCTTTATATCAGATATATTTTATATAAATTAATAATATTTTAGATATTTGTATGAGAGGTAGAGGCGCTGCCGTCACGTCAATTTCAGCTCTGTGTATTTTTGTCATTTAAAAATATTAAAACAAAAAATTGTGAAGTGAATTTTCAAAAAAATTGTAGACAATAACGTTCTTTTGGTGTTAATACCATAAACATTTAAAAAATACCACATAATTTATAAAAAAACTCAAAAAAATAAGTGGTAACTAGTGCATAATCATAGTGAATATAAGTGTAAAAAAACGTGGAAAAATATAATATAAATCAATAACAATCCTATAAAAATTCTCAGTGACCCTTATGATTAACAAAAAGTGATAAAATTATTAATAAAGTGGTGGTAGTGACAAGAAATTCCATTAAGATGATTCATAATAACCGCCAAAGACCCGTTTAAACATGTGACAAGAAATATATATAACTAAATTTCGACGTTAAGATATATTACATCGTAGCCTTGCGGAATCAACGCCTTGGTCTGTTAACATAACCGTGAACTCGAGGTTCAAATCTACCTGCCGTATTCCATACTTTGTTGTTTTTGTGGATTGATAATTGCTAATTTTATTCAAAAAACGCGATAAGTGTTTGACGGAGCGACAGGATGGCAGTAAAGTGTATGAAATGCAATAAAAGGATATTGAAACGTGACAGTTATTTATGCTGTTTCTTTTGTACACAAAATTACCATATTGATTGCGCAAATGTTTCTGTTAAGAGGTTTTCATTGATGACCGAGGATAATAAAGCAAAATGGAAATGTGACCAATGCTTCTTAAATGCGCAAAACAATTTGTCAGTAAATGTTCCTACAAATAACTCGTTCGAGATCTTAACTGACGATGAAAACTCGGATATAATGACCATATTAACGCAAAATAGCAAAACTAATAGCTGCCCAGATTTGAGAAAGTTAAACATGGAAGATAGAATAGAAAATCTTGAGACACAAAATCGAGAACTAAAAGAAAAACTACAAATTGCTGAAGCTGAAATAGAAAATATTTTATTAGAAAATACAAAATTAAAACAATTACTTTGCAAACATGAAATAAAAACAAAATTTTTAGCAGATATATGTAGCCCAACCTTAAAAAAAACTACCACGACCAGAAAAACCAGAAAGAGTATAAACAAAACAGTCTTGGATTTTCTGGAAGATGAAAAAGGAGGAATGTAGCTCTAATAATTTACAACAAATTAGTAGCACGCCATCTAGGACTAGAGAAAAAAGTCATCGAGGAAGCGCCGGCGATCTAAGCACCCCGAGTCATCAAATCCATAATAGTTCTCCAGCCTCGTCGCTAGATGACTCTGCTAATCAAAAAAAGATGAGGAAGCCTATTATCCATATAATCGGTGATCAACAGGCTAGAGGCTTGGCAGCGAAATTAAAATTATCACGTACTGGATTACATAATGATTGCTACACCGTCTCTGGTATGGTAAAACCATTCGCATCGAGCTCAGAAGTACTAAGAAGCTGCACCTATTTACAAGATTCTTTAAACAATAATGACATACTGATATTATCTGCAGGTTGTAATGACAAAAATCCTTACCTTTTTTTAACTAACTTATGCAATACTCTATGTAACTTAAAGCATTGTAAAATATTTTTGTTAAGCGTACAACAAAATAATTATCTAAATGTTCATAAACTTAATGCTGAAATCAAACTTATTGTAAAAAACTATAAAAATTGTACTTTTATTGACATAAACAAATTACTGAATAACTGCACCAGCTTAAATACAATATCGTCTAAAAATAAAATATGTACTAAATTGAATATAGAAATAGATTATCTAAAATATGAGCACGATTATATTAAAAATGGGATAAAATTAAAAAAGGATTCAAATAAGATCAATTACATTTCAAAGAATAGCGCGAACATGCAAGTATATAAAAAAGGCACAATACCATATTACTTCCCTGTTAAAGCAAAAGAATCACCAAATAAAACAACACAAAAACTCGAAAACAAAATTCATGATTTTTTTCGTTCCTAACAATAATAACAATTTATTCGTAATCCTTCATCAAAATATACAGGGATTATCCTCAAAAAAAGAACTTATGGAAGTGACTCTCTCGGAACTAAATCAAGATTTGTCCCCGGATGTGCTTTGTTTTTCAGAGACTTTCATAAAGTGTGGTGAGGAAAAAATATCAATATACATAATTACGAACTTGCGGCCCACTACTCACGAAACAAGAAAAGGGGTGGAACCTGCATAATGGTAAAAAAAAGGTATAGCATTCAAGCAAGTAACCATTTTCGACGAGGCTTCAGCCAACTTTCATTTTGAATGTTGCTCAATAAAAATACCTTATCACAACATAATTATTGTCTGCGTATACCGTTCTTCAACTGCTACAAAAAAAAGGCATTTTGAATGTTTTTTCGATAAACTGGAGTTTGTGCTTAGTAAATATTTGCATAAGCACTCGAAGCAAAAAATTGTGATTGTGGGAGATATCAACATAAATACTTTAATAAGAAATAATGTGACCAACAACTTACTAGATATTCTCCAAAATTATAATCTTACTCAGCATATCACGGAACCTACTAGAGACCTATCATGTATTGACCATATATTTAGTAATATTAAAGGTGCAACTGGACTTAACCTCCCTCTCTGTTTATCGGACCACGATACTGCGCAAATTCTTGGTTTCAGTACTATATCAAAGACTACTCCCCCAAAAACCTTATACACCTATAGGAGGGACTATTCTTCTGAAAATATAGATAAGTTTAAAAAATATTTGGCGAGCCTTTCCTTCTCCGATGTTTACAGCGAAACAGAACCTAATACTGCGTTTAATAAATTTCATGATTGGCTATGCCTTCTTTACAAACTCTGCTTCCCATATAAAAAAGTTAGACTTTCTTCAAAATCCTATTTAAAATGGATTTCTAAGGGAATCAGGAATAGCTGCGCGAAAAATAGAGTCCTAAGAAAAAACTACTATAGGAGAAAAACTCCTCAAAATAAACACAAATACAAAGTTTATTCAAAACTACTTAAAAAATGCATACTATGTTCTAAAAAAATAACTAATAATAAATATGTGATAAACAGCAAAAATACTTGCAAAGCTACTTGGAAGGTCATACAGGATGAAATAGATACCAAGCCGCAATATAATAACCACATTGACTTTATTGAATATGACAACAAATTTATTACTATTCCTACACAAATCGCAAATACTTTTAATAATTTCTTCATTCTATTTATCTACACCCTGTTGACGAATATGATATAAATAAAGTAATAATGACCTTGAATAATAGTGACTCAGAAGGGTATGACGGCATTTGTACTAAAGTAATTAAGGCATGCAACAAAGAAATAGGTAGGGTTTTGGCATTTTTAATAAACTTATCAATAATCTCTGGTATCTTTCCTGATAAACTTAAATTTTCCTTGATTAAGCCTTTATTCAAAAAAGACAAAAAATCAATTTTGAATAATTACCGCCCTATTGCGCTCGTGCCAATTTTGTCAAAAGTATATGAAAAAATTATGCATACTAAACTCTCATCGTTCTTTGACAAGTATCATGTCCTGAATCCCACTCAGTATGGGTTCCAGAGGGGAAAATCTACTACACATGCTGTTTTCGATATGGTAAATGAGACACTAACGTGCCTTAATGCTAATAATTATACAACTGCACTCTTCTTTGACATGTCGAAGGCTTTCGATTTTGTCTCACATAATTCATTACTGGTAAAATTGGAAAAATGTGGCATTAGAGGCACTGCTTTAAGTTGGATTAAAAGTTACTTGCAAAATAGACGTCAATCTGTTGAAATAAGCAAATCAGACAGTAATCATGTGGTCCTAAATCACAAATCAGATTTTAAAGAAAACAAATATGGAGTTCCACAGGGTAGCGTTTTGGGACCACTGTTGTTCTTAGTATATATAAATAATCTTCCGGATGTAACTAAACACAAATGCATTTTATTTGCTGACGACATATCTGTAATAGTAAAAACAGATGGTAAACAATCACTTAAAGATCACATTAATGATATTAACAGTACTGTAAAAACAATAATAGAATGGCTTAAAAATAACAACCTACTTGTAAATCTTGACAAAACTTATTTTATAAATTTCAATGACATATTATACCAGACAATGAACATTAATTTTGAAGGACAAACACTAAAAAGTACAAATATGACAAAATTCCTAGGTATATGGATTGATCAAAAACTTCAGTTGAACATGTATGTAAAAAAGTAAATAGATTTTCGTACGCACTTTATAAACTAAGCAAAGTAGCCACAAAAAATACAGCACTTACTGCGTACTTTGCATATGTGGAATCCGTACTGCGATACGGGCTTATTATATGGGGCAATAGCACAGATGCAAAAAAGGCATTCATTGCCCAAAAAAAATGTATTAGAGCAATATGTGGCGCTGCACCTGATGAGCCTTGCAGGCCGCTATTTGTATCTCTAAAAATACTACCACTCCCATGCCTGTACATTTTTGAAATTGCAAAATTTGTAAAACAAAACATGTATTATTTCAGACAAGCAAAAGAGGTTTATACGCAAAATACCAGAAATGGCAATAGACTTGCTGCTGAAATTATACCCAAGAGTGCTCGGTTTAAAAAAAATTGCTTCTGGATGTGTATGCTCATATTTAATAAAATACCCCGACATATCAAAGACTTGCCCCTTAATAGATTTAAAGGCGCCCTTTACAGGTGGCTAAATGATCATTGTTTTTATAATGTGAATGACTACCTAAATTTGACATGATGTGACACAACAGTAGTTATATATTTTTAATTGCATTTTCAATTTTAATTATTTTTAAATTTGTAT